TGATATAGGGTGTTGATGTCATTAGACCACACCCCTTCTCATTACAGAGATGCACATCACCTAATATGCTTAATTGGTAGTAGGCTTTCGGGCCTATACAGCTTGGAGTAGGACAACATGCATGAAGAGGATGATGTGGACAAAATACTAATTTGCCTAATAATTCTGCACTCCCTGTATGTCTTTGTGTGACGCATAAAAGTTGAAAGAACAAAAAACACATGATCAGCTTCTACAAAAGCAAACAGATGTTGCCATAGTATGAATTCTAACAGTTGTCAAATATGGCTATCAGCTGTGTACTAACCTGACTTCTGCACAACACAACTGATGGTGCCAACCTCATTAAGAAGGCAACAATTAAACCCTGACAAGGCACACCTGTGAAGTAAAAACCATTTCAGGTGACTACATCATGAAGCTCACTGAGAGAAGGCCAAGGGTGTACAGCGCCATCAACAAAGCAAAGCGTGGCTACTTTCAGGAATCTAAAATATAAAACACATTTAGAGTTATTTATCCATTTCTTCTCTTTGCTACATAATTTAATATATCTTGCTTCATCTATTTGATGTCTTCAGCATGCTTCTACAATATAGAAAATAGGAAATACAATGAAAAACCATTAAATGACAAGGTGTGTCCAAACTTTTGATTGGTAGTGTACTACTCTGAGGAGATCCCAAGGCAGACACTTGACACATTTACATACACGCTTATTTAATTACTATTTTATGCTGTTTGGATGGTTACCCAACAGGGAAGTTGCAAAGTGCCCTCTGCTGGATGAACTATGCAACCTCAGCACTCATAACTTGGTTAAAGTGCATTTCTCCCATCTTTTTGCTTTTTAATTGATCAGCCATTTAGCAAATAGCCATTATTGGGCCCACTGATTTTTCGTCACCACTCACCCTATCTGGTCTCCAGCTTTGATGGACCGACTGGAGAAGAAGGCTATCCGGGGGAAGCGTAAGTCCTGGTGCATGGTGAACACCCTCACAGCCAGTAGGTTGGGCTCACACAGGTGGTTGATGAAGCGACCAATGTTGCCAAAGAGTCTTGCATCAATACAATGGGCATCCCCAACCTGCACACATGTTAAAAAAACAAACCAAAAAGAAAAAAAGGAAAGCAAAATTTGTATCCTGCTAATGACTGCCTTTTGATAAGATAGATGTTAGAAAAAGGTGACACCCCCATGATGAAGTTGAAAGAGCAAAAAAACATATGATCAGCTTCTACAAAAGCAAACAGTTAATCTAGATTTTATCAACAGTTTTATCATTAAGTTGAACCTACAGTGAGAACATGTAAACTGCTGCTCACAGCAGCAATTCATTTCCAGAATAGTTGGACTGAATGAAGGTGCTGCAATAGTCCTGTCAAAGTCAAGTTTTCAACCTTATTGAAACGCTGTGGCAGGACACTAAGAGCTGTTCATAAACAAATGCCTGGAAACTGAAGCAATGTTGTGAAAATTAGTGGGCCAAAATTTCTCTAAAATGACCTGAGAAACTAAGTCAGAAAGACCAAAATCGAAAAGGAAAGCTTTAACCCTAGTCTTAAAAGTACAGAGGGTGTCTGTTTCCTGAATCCATACTGGAAGCTGAAGGCTGTGACTCTCATCCTAACTTTAAATACTGTAGAAACCACAAGTAAGCCCGCAGTCTGAGAGCGAGGAGCTCTGTTGGGGTGATACAGTACTACAAAGTCTTCAACACAGTGCCTGATTTTTCAAGACGTTGTACCTTAACCTACAATTTACACTAAGACTTTAGAATTGCAAAAAATGGACTTCCTTTTATCCATGGCTATATATAAATAAACTCTGCTGAGTGCAGCTTTAAAAATGTATTTAAACTTATTGAATCACCTTATTGTCGAGAGTAAACAGGAAGGAATCATTCTCTCTTTTGTCAGCCTCTCCATCTGTGATGATCTCGCCAACATACCTGTGGATCAGAACGGAAGTGAGCTTATAGCACAGCTCATTTTATATATCTTTTATGCTCTTAAACACACTACATTTTATTGCTTCACTTATGAAACAATCCTCACTCGCAAATGAATGTTCCTTGAGGGATATCCTGCATGGCTCTCACTCCCCAGCCCATATTCTGTGTTCTGAACAGCTGTAGCCGGACCCTGAAAAAAAACAACAAGGCAATGTAGACGGCAGAAGTGGCAGCATGCTTTAGAGCAGGGGTGTCAAACTCAATTGCACAGAGGGCCAAAAATCAACACTTTAGGTCTAGAATATGAATATTCTTTATTGTCATTGTCACAAGTACAATGAAATTGAAAGATGTCTCCGGTCAGTGCAACATCACGAAAGATAAATACTTAAAAACTATAATAGATATGATATAAAAGATAGAAATACATATAAAATACAGTGTTCTCATACAGTAAATACACCCAAGCAATCCAGGCCTAAGGCCCCATACAGACACTCAACATATGACCTAGTTGATATATCACTCAAACAATCAATCACTCAGTCAATTTGTTAGCGCATCCAACAAAACATGTCTGAAAGCATTCCAACATCTAGGTGGGAATGTGAGTTGTCTGTCTCTGCGTGTTAGCCCTGCGACAGACAGGCGACCTGTCCAGGGTGCAGGGTATGGTAGCTGGAATAGCAACATACCCAAGGATAAGCAGAAGAGAATGACTGATATGATGAAACTGGGATTTTGTTACACTTAATTATTGCAAACAC